AGTCCTTGTTTCCCCGAGCACTACCAGGAGTGACTAGGAATAATGGTCACAAGCTGGCAGAGGATAGATTCAGACTAGATATCAGGAGGCGCTACTTCACGGTCAGGGCGGCTAGGATCTGGAACCAACTTCCAAGTGAAGTGGTGCTGGCTCCTACCCTGGGGGTCTTTAAGAGGAGGCTAGACAAATACCTTGCTTGGGCCGTTTGACTCCAGTATTTTTTCCTGCCATGGCAGGGGGTCGGACTCGATGATTTTCTCAGGTCCCTTCCAACCCTACCGACTATGACTATGAACTATGAATCGGGTGGTTGGGGGGAGGTGGGTAATCAGCGCAAAGCTCCTTCAATTCTTCTACTTTTGGAGAAGAATGATTTCCCAAATAAATACTCCTGGGAGGCAAAATCTGGAATCCTAAGCAGTAGGGCTGCATGAAATTTCACTGGCTGTTTCATTTGACACTGTTTTGACTCATTTCAAAGTCAAAACAGCAAAATTGAAATGGTTAGTCGAAACGTTTCGAAAGTTGAAACATTTTGACCATAGCACTGGGGATGGTAAATCAGTCCAGCTGGGCTGACTTCCCATCCCTGGCACTAAATATGGCTGGGGACAGGGAGTCAGCCCAGCTGGACTCACTTCCCATCCCTGGGGCTAGGATCGAGCTTGGGAAAGGAAGTCAGCTCAGCTGGGCTGAGTTCCCAACCCCAGGCCCACCATCCGTCTGGGGAAACTCAGGCCAGCTGGGCTGAATTCCTTTCCCTGGCACAATGGTCAGGTGAAACGTTAAAACAGCATCAAAATAACCTTACTGTTTTGACAAAGTGAAACAGTGAGGCTGTTTCTACTCAAAATGAAATTCGATACAAAACACTGTTCTGTCCAGACCTCAAAACTAAAGTCAGAACAGAACAGTGCCATTTCACACAGCCCTACTAAGCAGACACTGAGGATAAAGAAAATTCACTGAGAAGAGAATCAGACCAAGAAATGCATACAGTTTAGATAAGTTTTGGCTAAAGTATCTGAACTCTTGGGTGTTTATCAGAAAAGAAGGCCAAAGCTTGCTGTTGTGTTTCATGCTGCTGGTACACTTCTTTATGATTTGTTCTTTCACTGCATGCAAGCCAGTAAGAATCTTGTCTCCACCGTCCCTTTTGTTTTCATGCTCTGTTTCTTTCTTTTTTTCTTTTCCTCCTAGATAGCAGTGATGGGCATATTTATGTGGAATGCCTAATAGGCGCACACATTCCTTCATGTGCTCTAATGTGTTTTCTGTCATGTTGTTCATTATTTCTTCAGACTTTAATAATGTTCTCAGCTTGATATGGTTAAGAATAATGAAGCATTTATTCTCATTCAAGAAGCTAATTAAAAGACTCAGTTTTATTTCTCTGAGATGTGTTGATGGCTTAATTATAGTCCTACTATTCAAAAAAACCCCCAAAAAACCCAACCCTTCTCTCTATTTTTGGTGTCCCTATGTAACCGTATAGCATTTCTACTTTTCATTTTCTCCACGACAGTATGTATTACAGTGCAGTAAGGAAGAACAATGTAATGAACATCAAAAAGAACAATGTTCATACAAGCACGCTGTGAAGTTATGACATGCAATTGTTATATGAAACTTAGACTGAAAATTGTTTGGAGCAGAGACCATCTTTTCATTTCAGGTGCCTGAAATGGAGGCACCCCATATAAAATACAAACAGAGTGAGTCATGGGGAATAAATAGCAAAACATCCTTCAAAGTGAAGTCAGTGCAAGTTAAGAACATTCTGTGTTTCACAAGCTCAAGCTCTAATTATACAGTACATTGGAGTAACTCTGGATTATTGTTTAAATGGGGCTTTGCCCATTTCACCTTGCATTTGCCACATTTTGTCCCTTTTTATGACTTCAGAGTAAAACAGTACATGACTTCTTGAAATGCTCAATAAAGGCTTACAGGATCCTTAGCCAACATCATCTGATCACTGTACTGGTAGAAAGGCAATCATAACTATTGGGTACACAATTCACATTCATGGTTTTATGACACTGATCATTGTGCATTATGGCCGATTTAGAAGCAGGGAGGAGGGCAAAGACGTACACGGATAAGGGATCAATTTATAACACTTTTCAATACCTTTTGTAGCAATGGCCACTCCCTCCTTTTGGAGACATTCAGGGAGCGGATGCCTGTCCTAGACTGGTGTTTAAGCTGAATTTTGTGTCATCGTACAATTGGATCTGAGGAGTCTCCAACACACTAGGAGTCAATTATGCAGAAGGCAGGATAGATTTGCCCTTTATAGACCAGCCAAAGTAGATATATATAGCACTAACTTTTGTGAACTGAAGCTCGCTTCATCAGAAGCTGTGAAAGGCTGAGCAGAAAGCACGGTATAAGAAAGAGAGAGAAATTAGAATACAAAAGACGAGAGAGGGTGAGCGGGAGGGTGAAAGGGGAGTGAGGGTCAGTGCTGGGAGAGGCAAAGGAGTCAAAATCTAGTCCACATAAAGGGATACGAATCTATAGTCCCTGTTTAAACCATACTTAACCCAATCCAGTCTGTGGATGAGTTCTTGTTCTGAAATTCCTGTTCAGTTTTTAAAGTTTTTAGAAGTCAGTTCTGTAGTTCTGAGTGCCTGGAAACACCAAGGTTCTGTGTCTGCCTATGTCCGTAGACCAACACAGCTACAACCAACACCCTGGAAGCAACAACACATTAGAACATGCACAGTTTGCAAGCCCAGATATAGGGAAAGTGTGTCCATGCTTACCTGAAAACATCCTTTCTTTGAGCAAAAAAATCCACAGTTGTGTTATGGCAAGTAACTCAGCTTGCTTGCAGAAGCAGACATAGCAGCAGGGGAATGCTCCACCTCTTGAATTTCCATCAAGCTACAATAACTTTCAGAGCCAGGATAACTCAAAACCACTCCCTTATGTTACAGATTGCTTTAAATGACCTTTGAGGAAACAAACATAACAATTTCTGGGCTTGCACATCAGGGTAAGTTCCCTCTGTGGTGATGTGGGGACTTTGTTGCTTATGAATTCTGTTTGATGCTGAAGCACATGACAAGTGACTGTCTGGTGCAAACTCCATTTTGGATGACTGTGTGGTTCCTTACTTTCTCTGTTGTTCTTTTGTCTTCATGGTGGACTGGAATTCCAAAGGCTGGTGGTAAAGATTTAAGGTCCCTACCACTGAAACCAAGTAGTGTTAAACAACAGGCTGGCTTCCTCCCAGGACAGCTGCTTTATCATATGGTAAGACTACTGAGACCCAAGTAAGGTTAGAGAACACAATGTAGAAACATATGCCATCAAATCAAATGGATCAGATGTGCCAGGAAGGTCTGCTTCATTGAGTGAAACAGTCATCACCCATTATCCCCGGTCATCCTTTAAGGGGTTTGGCCTAGATGACCTCCTGAGGTCCCTTCCAACCTTAATTTTCTATGATTCCATGATCCTGAGGGATCAGGCCCCTACTGTTCCCAGGAGCAGTATCAGCCCAAACCAAGAATCACGATGCCCTTTTGCAAGTAGAAGAACCCTGAATTTCCCTGGTAACGAAGGAGTGGCTGGGAAATCTCTGTTTATAGAGAGTTAGGCAAGGTTCTTGGGATAAAATGGAACAAATCCATGAAGTGTTTAGAACAGGCAGTAAGGCATGTATAAACCGGATTGTGAAAAGGGCTTGGGAGACAGTTGCATTGATGCAGAATGGGGCTGATGGTGAAATTCGGTATAAGTGAGGAGGTCGGTGGCTGGACTCTCTCTGGCTGTAATGTGGATATCTGGAGCTTGAGGCAGCTGAAGAGACGAACAAGGATTTCAGCAGAGGTGGGGTTGAGTCAGTAACATGCAAAGCCAGGGTCAAGAAGGGACCTAAATGTTGTTGCTATTAATTGTATTATGATAGCATTGAGAGAATCAGGACTCAGTTGTGGTAGGCACTGTTAAGCCATATATTAAGAGGTAATCCTTGCTTTAAATAGCTTACAATTAAATTATATAGTCAGGCAAAATACGTAGGTGAGAAGGATGGAAGAGGGGATAACAACAATATGACAGCAGCTCTATGTACAAATTGTTGGGTTTACCACTGTCATTTCCTAAGAGAAGTGCATCTGTCAGACATATTTAAATGCACAGAAATGGCAACAAAGCACACATGTACTTGGTTAACACTATAGAGTGAGAATGAATAAGGGATGCTATTCTACAGACATAAAAGGATCTTGGTAGGTGACAATCGTCTCTGCCTATTTAAGAAAGCAGGCAATTAACTACCTCAGAGTGTTTTTACACTCAGGCCTTAAAGAGAACTTTGCTTGTTAATCTCTTCTCTACTTTAATCTGCTCACATTGAAAAACCAGCACGTAAACAGAAAGCAAGTAAAACACAGGCACTGCCTCCACCTTAATAATAATAAGCCCAATAATAATAATAAACCAAAATTAAATTATATTAGGTGCCTCAACTTAATGTACAAAATAAACTTTCTCTGTTTATAGAGAATATTGTAAGTGACTGAAGTGGCCTATTGAAGCAAATAAGATCTACAGGTTTAAGTTTGAGGCAATACTTACAGCTTTTAAGAAATTATTCTGCTGAAGAGCTGCTAAGCCAGCTCAAGAAGTAAGTTCTATCTTGCATATATTCTCTAATGCTTTATAGATGGATTAACAATAGACCTAGGCTAACAGAAGGCAAAGAAATTATTTTGAAAACTGGGCATGTCTACATGTTCATTAACATGCTGTAGTTACTGCGCGTTTAGTTTAGTACTTCCTTAATGAAGTACTAACTGAATGC